CGGCGGTGTATAGGCCAAGACATATGCGCAAGACATAGACACACATACATATTACAGAAGCAGTGACGTAGGAAGCTCTTTCTGATTGGGGGGGGGGGTGAGAACGGAGGCCCGAGGAAATTTTTAAATTTAGAGTCCCTGAAATGCCATTTCCTTGACTTTGGGGGAAGTTTTGACAGAATTCTGATGGTCAGAAAAAAGCGTTTTAGTATGTCAAAATTTACAACTTGCTTACAGTTTAGTAGTACCAAATGGGCGGAGACGTATTTAATTAACTATACTGCATATTGGTGAAGTTGCAGGAAAGTATGGGTAATATGATTTTTTGCAGCTTGTCATGGATAATAACCGCTTGAAATTAATCAATTGTCAGCATTTTAAAGGTATATTAAAGAATGATTACCAAATTATTGGCAGGGCTGCAGTGCCCCCCCCCCCCCCCCCCCAGTTGCTACGGCTCTGAGAAGTAATGAACTGAAAGACATTTACCGATTTACGATTTGTTAAATGTTATCCATGTAAATGCCATAATTTCATAAATCAGTTTATACTGACAATACAATTTTATAATATTTTCTCTGTTTAACAACTAAAATTTTGTTCTACTAATATTATTGCCGTAATTTTCCAAATGGCCAGCCCGATTCTCCGAATATGTTGATTCTAAAAAAGTTGAGGGGGCGGTTAACCACCTCCCCCCACCCCCAATACCCCTGCCCTTGCTACGGCCCTGGGTGTATCATAATGTATCCTCTCACTGGTGAAACCGTTCTTTTCAAATTATTTGACATAGTTGTAAGAGTAGACAATTGTAATATAAACTACCAACTAGTTGTGTATAGTAGATATATACAAAACGTGCTAGACCAAATTTTATGTCTATTTTATAAATGTGCACTTTTAATAGATATTTGATATTGAACCAATTATCAAAGCCGTTTTGGCTTGTTTTTCTCAGTGCCTTTTTAGTTATATTATCTGTGTTGTAAAATACAAAGTGTTTGTTTACCCTTTTTAAATTTATTTCGCAATAAATAAATAAATTTCGCAATTTTCATCGTCGGCATTGTCTGTGTCCATCTTGACTTGCCTCAATCTTCCGGTTCGCGCGGCATAGTTCAAAATGTCTGCCGAATATTTTTTCGTTGTGTCGTGTTTGTTCCCATATTGCAAAAAAAGTTCAAAAAATTAAGTGACAATATTTTTACCAAAGAAAGATCTGATAATGGACTAGTCGTCCTTGGGTTTGCTAAGTTCTGGTGACAGTACAAGTTATTAATATTTTACAAATCGAAGGCCAGTTGGAAAAGCGAAATTCGCAGTGACGATGAACCCGAACACTTGTTTGAAAACAATTCTCATTTACTCGTTACATGTTGGCTTCTGGTCAAGGATGAACATGCTGGTAAGAAGAACAAGTATTCCTTTGTCGATTTAAGAATAAGAGTGGCCAAAAAACGTTCAAATTTCTTTTATATTCGTATATTTTAAAAGTATACAAACCTAGGAAATTTTTCAACTGTAATCAATTTTTTATGCTGTATTCAGCAAGCTATTGCAAAAAAAGTTTAAAAAATGACGCCATGAAATTTAAGAGTAATAAAGATTTGTACTTTGTTAACATGCTTTTAAAAAAGCTAAGTGCTGGCTTATTTTTGAGATATAAAATAAATAATTTATTTACGCATCCTGAAAAACGCGTAAGGGAATCCATTATGATGTTCGGCATTCATGTGCAAAATTTTCGTAGTTTTGTTTTTACGATTATCTTGAACCATGCCATGTCAATTGTAAAGAACGTAAATAACCAGATGGCAAAATATGGCAACGATAGACTGCATAATTTCGGAAAAATAAGAGATTTAAAAAGTGTCTTCGAGTTTCGCATCAATATTTTGTTTTGATTTAAATTTCGGCCTTGCCCGCTAGCCCCAGTCCTAATTTGCATCACACATGTTTCACGCGAATTACTGGCGTTTCGCCGCCCTATCTTATAAACGCCCTGGCAAAACGTAACCTGCCACAACTTTTGAAGGAATTAAGATTTGAATTTATAATAATTACTTCAATTTCCGGAGAAGCAATTTTTACTCATTAGTTTTTGGGTAATTTTTACAACCCTGGTCACCACATATAAGTCCGAATAAAGCAAAACAAAAGCTGCGGGAATTCTTGGCTGAGCCTTCAATATCATGTAGTTAATGCTCAGTGACATGACCATTTTTCTCTGCAACTTCGGCCACCTCAATATATCAACAGTCAAGGGTGACTTTAATATAGGAGCTGGGATTTGTCTGGCGCCCTCCCTCACGATTTAAGACAACTCTTCTGCCGCCTTATTTCCATCTGTCGCCCCTGAACACACCGAAAATATTGCTTACTCTGGACGGTGGTGAAGCTAAGATCAAAACCGATTTGTTCAATACTACGATCTGTTACCATTTTCAGTGTGACGACATTCAGGCCAGGTACAAATGGTGCCGGAGTGGTGGTCCCACAGAATTTTTTTGATGAACCTCCAGATATAATGAGGTAATCATGACAATTGAATTCTGTAAAGTAAGTGAATGGATATTGTATTTATTAATTAATTAATAATAATATGTAAACTAGAGTGCACTCAGACACTGCATAACTCCGTCAGGTTATGTACAGTGCATAGTTTACTAGGCCTGGCAAACATTTGCTAATTTCTCATCCAATCTTCATTCAAATTTAATCAAAATTAATCAATTTGTCCTTGGGTAATATATGCCCAATGATTTTATCAGCATTAACAATTACATGCAAATCTCATTCGTGGGAATTTCCCAATTAGCTGCGCAGATATGGACATGCCATAAAGTGTAACATAAATTACGTTACCTACCGTCTTCAATATCGCCCTCAATATCGAGCTTGGTGAAAGTGAAAGTAAAGTTTGTGTCCAAGGGTTGTTTGATCGTGAGGGTACAATCAGTGTTTGAACAGTATTTCCTTGGATAATTAGGCGACCTAATCTGTCCACTGGATGTTGTAATCTCCTTTGTTGGGCAAATATTGATGGCTTGGCCTGTGGGAAAGACACGTACAACATGTATAGTTATATATTTCTATACTATATATCTCTAAACGTTTTATATTATATAAATTTGAAAATATTTTCCCCAAAAACTCTATGTGCATGCAACCAGTAAATTTACGGGCTAAGCCCCCTCCCCCCAGTCAAAGTAAAACAGTAATATGAAGATATTTGATCGCTGCCTTAAGGCGGATTTCCAGTCCTCGCACGAAGCTCCTCGCAGCTCGCTGCGAGTGATGCATGCGTACTTTCATCCAATCACAATGCTAAACCGTTCATTTTAATTAGACGCAAGCACTCGCAGCGAGCTGTTAGGAGCTTCATGCGAGGACTTGAAAACCGCCTTAAAAGGCAAAGTGAACAACATTACCAACATTGTGGTCATATATGTTTTGGTTGAAAAGCGTGACCTTTTTCCATTTCCTTCATCAGAACAGGAAATGAGTCAATTCATTAACCAAAAGGAAAATATATAGAGTTTCATTGTGTGGATGGTACACACATCCCAATTGCACAGTCTCAAGAAAACCCGCACGGTCGACCATTGTAGTTACAAGATGAAATACGCAATTAATGTAAAGCAGTACGCAATAGGAGAGGTATGTTGATTCTCGGTGGTTAGGCAGTTTCCATGATATGGTCCAACCTCGTTCCCAGGCTCTTTGCTCTTGTGAAGCAAAGACCCTGGTCGGGGCTGGTCACGTGACCCCGCAGATTCTGCGTGGTAAATTGAATTGATCTCAGGGAGGGGTGGTAGAGAGGTCTGTTTGCTACGTTTGGAAAATTGCAATTTTATG